AGCAGCAGCAGTAGTGGTGGTGGTGCCAGCAGTAGCAGTAGTAGCAGCAGTAGCAGCAGTAGCAGTAGCAGCAGTAATTGTTGTCGTCGTAGTGGTATTCGTAGCCGTAGTCGCCGTCGGAGTGGCAGTGGCAGTTGCTGTGGCAGCGACAGCGGCAGGGGCAGTGGGCGCGATAGTGGTAGTGGTAGTACGTGTAGCAGCGGCAGCCGTAGTGGCAGTACAAGCGGTCACATTTCATATTGGCGGTGTGCAAGCATGCATTTTGATTTCGCAGGTTGCGGCGCAGCTGACGTCACTTGCGGCTCTTGAGGAAGCAAGGAAAATTGCAGCACGATTGGAGCTTCGAGCAAGAGTGACTTGGCAAAGAATTGGTGGGAGTTTCGTCGTTGGCTTGGCAGCCGGTGTGAGTGCTGCTTTTTTGGGATGCTCAATAACTCATCTTGTTCTCCAGCAATCAAGCACGGGTGACAAGGACCAACCCAACCTGGAGACCGGCGGCAAGGCTTCCATCGGCAAAGCCGCGGTGGATCCTGAGAGCACATCAGGTGCGAAGCTAGATGATGTGCAGCAAGCACAGACGCCAGAGCGGCTGAACGAGGACAGTGCAGCTACTCCGAAGCAAGACGGATCGCAGAAGGTACTGCTGTCGTCCGACGTCGGCAGCCATCGCGTGTCTGTTGTGAAAGAGGACACTGTGCAGAAGGACAAGCCCTCTGCCGGAATGAATCGCGAGGAGTCACCTGGTAGAAAACAACACAGTTCGCAGACCGTGAGCGACGGCACAGACCACAATGAATTGTCCAGCCCGAAGCCGACAGACTTTGGCCGGGACGGTGCCACTCAACGACATGCAGGGCAGGATGAGCGGCAAAGGGTGCAAGCTTCTGCCGATATGCCTTTCAGAACTGGAGCATCGCAGGCTTCACACAATGACCAAGCCTTGCAGACCTCTCAGCGTCTGCAGCCTGAAGCGGATGTTGACAGAAACAGCATGCCAAGCGGAAAGGAGCAGGCGTCACAACCGCTGCACAAGCTTGCAAGCGAAGTCGCTCCTCTTGTGCAGGAAGACGACACCCTTCGAAAGACGGGTGTGACGGAACCTCGTTTTGATGCGAAGCAATCCTGCGTCAGCCCGGAGAGCGGAGACACCTTGGCTCTGAACCGGAATAGCCCCGCGAAGACGGACAAGCCTGCCAAGGAAGACGACCAGAGCATGGCGGGTGCAAAAAAGGACATTCCTGGTGCAAGCCAGGACGAGGGCACCAGTGCGAGGCAGCAGAGTGTTCAGACACAGAACGATAAGCTTCAGCTTAACAGCCAGCAGAGCGACAAAGCTATCAAAGTGGACTCCAAAGTGACTGCTGGTGTGCAACAAGATGCCCCAGAAAAGATGTCATCCTCTGCCACCTTGGATGGCAACACTCCGGCTAGGGAGGCTTCCCACAAGATGGATGCAACAGAGGCTGCCAAAGATGATGGGCAGACGAAGGCGACAAAGGCACATCGGAGAGCTGGAAAGTGCAAAGTATTGTGTAAGTCTTTCAGGTTTGCAGGCTATACTGAGTTGTTCGGCCTTGAGCATCGCTTGAATAAATGCAGGCACCGACCGTCGACACGCCATCTGCTTCCCCGTATGGCACTCGAAGAAGCTTGCGCGACTGCCTGTTGCGATGGAGCTTGTCTCACAAGACTCCCAGGCTCACCGTGATTCCGGACACCAAGGTGCAAGGGACCAGGGACGTTTCGTGGTTTTGGCATGTCTTCAAATGCAGAAGCAGTGCAAACAAGAGGTGGAGCTGCTGGGAGTAGAGCGGCACAAGACGCATCCGATGGCTTTCATCACATTGAACGAGGCATGGAGTTCCGTGGGACATCGTGGGACAGTGCGTCTTGAGAAGTCCTGCCAGGCATCAGCTGCGAGAGCCATCATCGAGCAACAGCAGGACTCCATCCTTGGAGTCCAGGCGGCGCCTTAGTCTCTGTTGTTCACGCTCTGTACCTCGGCCGGGATTGTCAAAATGCAGGTGGAGCGTTGGGAGGCCTCCGATCAAGATCCGGCGGCCTTCCTACTTCTGTGGAAGGGCCATCGAGATGACCTCAAGGAGGTGGTGCACACGAGTTTCTGCTTCCGTCTTCTGTCCCAGATGGTGCAGAGGCGGCATTGACCACGTACTTCAAAAAGTTCATCGAGGGCATAAACAAGGCGCCTAAGCCGAGGGTAGCGTTGCAGCAAGTCTTGGTCGGCATTGCAGCTGTCGTAGCCTTTCTCTCGAGGCGCGAGAGGTTGCAGCATCTGCCGGGTGCGACAGCCGTGCTCTGTTCTATGCACGGTACCGTGCCATCTTAAGGTGTCCAACCGCTACTGCTAGAGCCAGTCACAGTTCAAGACAATGCCCGATCGGTTTTAGCATGCCTGTCCTGGACTGGACGTGCCTTTCGTAGGACATGTAGGACTCGTAAGTGACGGGCACTGAGTAGCGAGTGGCTGCGTTCTTTCTGGGCTCGAGCTTTCACGGAGTCGGGAAGTTTTGAAGAGGGGCATCTCTGTCAGCGCTCTGTGGCTTCAAGCGCACAGGAGCCTCTAAGGCAGGATGCGGCTGCGCAACGTCGTGGTTGGCCTCATGTGCAGTGGCATTTAGTTTCCGCCGCGCTTCCAGGAATGGCGAAGCATCATCCTGACCTCATCATGTGTCGAAAGCAATGTGGTATCGCCATTGGCACCGTGCTGAGTTTCTGCAGTATCGCAAAATTTTGATATTATGTCTGGATGCTGGAAGTCTATGCGCTCGAGGCCGCTTGTGCGAGAAGTGCGATGGCAAATGCGTGATCTGTGACTCATATGCGCGTGGCTCAGTTACAAACATCCGGTTGGGTACGGTCCTTTGCATAATGAATCTGGCAGGTGAGACCTAGCCAGCTTGCTCGAGTTTGTGACGAGTGCAACTACGGTGCGCCCCTGCCTCCCGTTCAATCGCAGTCAAGAGCTTTTGTGAAGCTTCGCAGGAAGCTACCAGGGTCGTTGTGTCATCTGCGGTGGCGCTGGCATCTCCGATGCTTTCTACTGCAAGGATGTTGCGCAACATTGCGTTCAGAAAGTTCCTGATGCCCGGGCTGAGCTAGTGTAGCCGTACAGGGGCCATAGTGCAGCAAGGCTTGGGCCGAGGTCAGAGTTTTCGATAAGGCCATGGTCCACCAACATGTCTCCTCGTGGCTCATCCAAACCGCTTCGACAAGATTCGTAGTGCTTCGTACTGGTTGCAGGAGTGTTGCCAATGCGAGAAGGCAGGCCCAGGGCCCGAGATGTCCCGAGTGGGCATCGCGATGCCACAACGCGGTGATCCTGCTTTGCAGGATCGAGATGGATGCCCCAAGATTGTCAACCTTGGTACTGCCCGGACAGATCTGTTCTACGAGCGCAAGAAGCGTGCACCTTACGACCGCTACACGTTGCGAAGACATGTTCACACTGCAGTGTAAGGTATGGGTTCAAATCGCGGTGAGGATGGCAAGCCCCCACCAGACGGGGAATGTAACGTAGCAGTCAGAGACAAGGTACAGGTGTTGTGGGATTGTTGGCTCAGTTTCCGTTCCAGACTTGTTTCGAGATTTCCTGATGTCACGAGTTACTACTCTATAGTGAGCTGCACTGCACCGGCAGTACAGGGCACAGCTGGCGGAAAAGATGCCACATTTCCAGTGCAAGATTCGCAACGCTGTTGGATTGCCTGAGTGTTCCAGTGAGCCCGCCGCAGGAAGGACAAGAATGCGCAGCTTTCTGCCGCCTCTGCAGCTGCAGCATCTCTCGTGGTCCAGGCCCTCTAAAGCTTCACAAGTCTCTCTGTTTGTGTCTCATTCTGGGCCATGGGATAAGTGGGGTTCAGGCGCCCAAGGCCGAGCCGAAGGCAGAGCCCAAGGCGAAGCCGAAGGTCCGGGGGCCATTCCGGGGCTCGGGCCCAGGGCCGCTAGGGAGAAGTAGGGGTGGGGCTCTTCCGCACCTGTGTGTGCCTGGATGGATCATGCTTGCACTGCTTCGCCTGTGGCTGTCCTGGTCAGAAACTGCGTCTCGGAGGGGTCACTGGACTTGGGTGTTTTTGGATGGCTGCAAGCCTGCATCAGGTCGCATTGAACCCAGAGCAGCAGAAAGCATTCATCGAGCAGCAGAGACTCGGAAGCAGTCCTTGTTCACCCTCGTTTGGATGTTCCCCAGTACCGCCGCAGTTCGTCGTACAGTTACTAGACTCCGATCCCACGTGCTATGATTGTGTCTGCAAGGATGAAGCAAGTGCACCAGAAGCAGGCCGGGCCCGGAGCTCTTTTTGGCCGTAAGCGATCTGAGCTGACGAAGCCGTGCATCCTGCGCCAAGAGGCCGCACAGGAGCTGCAAGAGAACCTGCAGAGGGTGGCTCAGGACGCTTCGAAGGGCCGAAGAGCTCAGCATCTTCTCTGTCAACTGCTGGCCAGGAGATTCAGCTGCGTCAAAACATGCTGGAGCACTTCAAGAACCAGGTGCGGGAGACCTTGCCGGACTGCTTTCGTTTGCATTGTGCTTGCTCAGGACCTATCCACGTTGCCAGTTTCAGAGCGGAACTTGTTGGCGCAGCACCTCGGCTGCAGCCACGTCTGGCCGTGGGAGAGCAGCAGCGAACCTCCTGATGTATCTAGCTTTGCTGCTCCAGGTCTAGTGAGGACAGTCCGCAGGCTCCTGATGCTCATCTTGCTGCAAACCACGTGCTTTTTGAGTTATCCCGGCCCCGCTGATGCTCGCTCCCGCTATCCGCCTCTTTCGCCGTGGGAAGGGCCTGTAACGGGCCTGTTTGCACTGGTACCCACGGGCCTGCCAGTCCAGGTGCTCGAACCAACAAATGTTCTGTGGAAGCGGCGGAAGAGCATAACTGATCCGAAGCCGAGGTTGCAGTCGGAGCTCCAACATTTTCAAGAGCAGCGGATTGTTTTGGAGCTGCCTGTCTTCAACCAGCAGGGCATGGCAATTCTCATGAAGTGTCCAGCAAGCAAGTTGCAAATGGTGCCACAGGCAAGCTGCCGCCAAAGAACTAGGTGCCCCTGCGGCCCAGGCATTGCAAGCCCAAAATACGCAGCAGCGAGAGCAAGAGGTGCATACTGAGCCTCGAGCCACAGCCACAGCACAGAAAGGCGTACTAGGCACGGACCAGCACCAGCACACACCGACACAACAGCAAGGCCTTCACCAACAGGCACCACCTCCACCACCTCCGCCACAGCCACAGCAAAATCAGCAGCAGAAAGAGCAAGAGCAGTTGGCCCAAATGGCCCAGCTGCAGATGCAGCAAATGCAAGAAGCACAAATGCAGCACCAGATGCAACAGCAGGCCCGGTCGCTCAGCCTTGCCGCGCGGTTGCTGGCAGTGTCTGGCTGCGCAGCTTTTCGTCAGAATCTGCAAGCCGTCGATGCGCCATGATTTCACCTGAGGTCCTGTCTAAAAGCTGCAGTGTCGGACAGCAGTATGAAATATACCTCTCAGAGCGTTGGGTGGCTTCCTGCTGGAACTAGAACTTGCTCCTCCTTCTTGTGGAAAGGTAGTTTAGTTTTTCCATGCCTGCCCCGTCCCAACTTGTGCCGCTCGAGCTTCCGACTGCATGGAAGCCAGCGACTAGAGCTTTCCCGATTCCCGGTCTCCGAATAAATCGGATTTGTTCTCCAGATCACATAGAGTCACATGATGATCGAGAGTCCAACAAGTCTTACCGAGTGTACATTCCGGGTTTGTTGCATTGAGATTGATGCTTGAGCTCGAGCCTAAAGCTTGCACCAGAAAATTTGCTTGCAGGCACTCATGCAGCAGCTGCAGCAGGCGCAGATGCAGCAAATGCAGATGGCGCATTTGCAGCAAGCCCACATGCAGCAGGCAAATGTGCAGCAACCCCAGCAGACACACTTAATTCAACAGCAACAACCTCAACATCAGCCACAGCAGCAACAGCAGCAACAGCAGCAGCATCAGCAACAGCAGCAGCATCGGCAGCAGGCGCAGCAGCATCAACATCAAAAGTTGCATCAGCATCAGCAGCAGCCGCAGCCGCAGCAGCAGCAGCAGCAGCAGCAGCAGCAGCAGGGTCAGGTGCGGCACTCGCCGTTCCAGGCCTTTTGCTCTGCCGAACTACTACCCCGGCTGACAAGTTGTCTGCAATTGTCGCGCTTGCTTGTGCCTTTGGGTCCCAAGCAGGTCGGCGGGCGGCTTCCACAGGAAACGCCGAAAGTCGGGATGCCAGGCGACCGGGAGAGTTTGGGTCTGTTGTGTCTTGCCAACTTTGTACTGTCTTTGACTTGTCGCACTCTCCAGTCGAGTCAAGCCAGGTAATGCTGTGGGCGCAGGTGCCCCGGCAGCCGAGGCTGGTGTTGCGTGTGCACATGAGGCATGCCCGAAGTTTCTCGTCATGAATGCAGGTTCCTGCCCACCCGATGATGGCGCCACCTCCGCCAGCGCCTGTCAAAGCCCGCCTGAGTGAAAAGAGCAAAGAGCCAAAGATTCCGAGCTGATGGAACGTGAGACAGGCGCAGATCACGGCACCACCGCCAAGCTTGGAGATTGCTCCGTGCACTGCAGGTAGGACGACTCAATTCGAGTGCAACACAAGCTGACCCGAACTGCGAGAACTTGAAACCAAGGCACCACTGCCAAGGCCGGTGGCCCGAAGCCCAAGGGCACGGCCACGGCCATTGCGATTGGGCCTGTTCCGCCCCCTCCAAAATCGATGCCCAAGGTGCGCAGCTTGGAACCGTTACATGCTACTTACATGCTGCAACGCTGTTGTGGGTGCACATGCGTACTCGAGGCGACCGCGATGTTGGTTGGCCACTCAGTCGAGGGGTCGTGCATTGGCTGAACCAAGATCCTTCGCTGCCAACCATGGTGTACATCAGTCGCCGCCACAACCGTGCAGCTATATCGTACGCGTGCAGGATGTTAGACGGAACCAATCGCGCTACGATGCGCCATTGCCTGTAGTGACTGTAGTGTTGCAGAAGGCAGAGCATCCCCGGCACAGAGGCAGGGAGAAGAAAGCATGGCTGCTCGGAGGGTTAGTGTTGCACGCCTGTGTGTTGCCTAGCACATGTTCGAACGACTCGCAGGAGCCTCAGACAGCAAGGAACAGCGAGAGAAGCCGCTTTCCCAATCCATCTGAGACACTGGCAGATTTCAGAATGAAGACAGTGAAGACCTTGCGAATCACGTGGAAGTCGCTCCAGACAAGAGCTTCAGCCATGTTGCAAGCACTGCCGTCGTTTGCAAGTTGCAGTTGAACTCAATCTGGATGCTGCGCTTCAGGCCTGCGACCTCCTACTCCGAAGCTCTCAAAGAGGCTTCCACTTTCACGCCGGGCGAATTGCCAGATGTAGCGGACATTCATCAAGGTGACTGACTGCCTACTGCAGGAGCAAGCTGGTGGCATACGCAAAGTATCAAGTGGGATGGCGATGCGTGCCCGTCTGAGCTGCGCGGACCGCACAAAGCACAACAATTTTGGAACCTTGAAGAAACTTTGACAGGCTTGCCCGAGGAGCTGGAGAAAGAAAGGCCGGCATAGGACGTGGGGCTCTATGAGTACAGGAGAAGTATAAGAGAGAAGCAGTAAACCTCACTCGCCGACATTTGGAGGCGGAGAGGGCGTCCTGGGGGCTGGGATGAAGGCCTGGTTGCTGTCGTTAGACACTGCTCAAACTCCGCTCCGAGTGATTTGACCGTTTAGAGGTTCAGCTCAGTAAAATCAGAGCTATCCGCAGACACCGGGCTATAAATGAACGACAAGACACCCCTAGCACGAGCAGATTTGTCGAGCTTGGCTCCAAGCAAGGGAATGTAACCAAAGAACTTGGCCATTCAGCAGGCCATAGGGTGCAACAACTGCCTATGAAGTTTGGATCTGATAGACGAAACACTGCGTGCTCACACCGTTTGGGATTGCCCAGTTTCCTCTGGTGTCTGGGCCAGGTCCGCCAAGAGAGCGCAGCGATATCCTGAAGGCGAGGTGGCCGAGTTGTAAAGCGCAACGAGTTCAAACAGACGTGGCTTCGGATCGGCGTACCTTTTCCCGAAATGCGTAAGTCATTGTTTCCAACGACTCACGGGAAGCGGCCGAGCTCGAACACCGCTAATGAGGGTTGGATCCTCAGCATCCATACAGTGTGGCGCATCAGCCGGTTGTTTTCTAAAATAAGGTCGTCGTTTCTAGCCTGCTCAGACTTGCTCGAGTGCGCTTGCTAGGGGCTGTTGGAAGCAGGAAAGTCTGATGTAGGGCGAGTTGCTTTCACCACATGTTTCCCCTTAGATTGTTGCGGCTTGCAAGCCTGCATATTAGTCTTACCATCTTATGAGCTGTTTCCACCTTGATGCAGAAGATCCTCAAATCGCGAGGTGCGTATGTTTACATATAGATTTGCCGGTCCGTTCTGGCTCGTCCTTGCTCCAAAGTTCAGACTAATTCCTGAGCACTGTAGCCTTGCTTTGCGATGAAGGTTGTTGTTCCCTTGGGCTGTATCGGGATCGGGGCAGACACAGAAGCTTGTTGCGAGAGAGACATGAGCCTCCATTTAATCTAAGAAACCTGATTTGCAGTACTGCTCAGTAGTTTTCAGTGGTCGGACCCGCGCTGAACGAACATGAAGCCCCCAGTAGGTTCGTCAATGATACGAGATTGTGTTGGTGCTCGCTGCGGAGTGTGAAAGCCAGCACTCGCCGAGTTGTGCACAGGACATACCGGCTGAGAAGTCCGATCCTCGGCTTGCATGACGAGACTTGGCCTAGCCGCCAGGTTTCAGACACACTTGCAGAGACATTGCGACTGATGCAAGGTGGAGTGGCGCCCCTCCGGCACCTCCAATGCCGAAGCCCGCGGGCCGGATACCCGGCTCCGTCATTCCCAACTTGCTGGTTTAGGAAGCTTGGGTATGTGTGGGGCATCTGCTCAGAGTATGAGGAGCAGCTTGTTGGAAAGCATGAGGTCTCCCAGGACCTGGTGGTCCTGGTCCCGGTGGCCGCGGTGTGTTTCGGACTCTGCGGCGGGCCAAGCATCTTCACGGAAGGATTCACGCCATCACACTCCATTTGAGGTTGCCTGCTGCAGCAACACCGGTTGCTGGAGAGGCGAGTGGGACGGGTTCGGGAGATCGCGAGGAAGCGTTCAGACTCGGAGGGATTCCGTCTTCCCTCCCTGACCAATTCGAAGTCGCCGGTGCCAGGCACGCCCACCAAGTCTTGGTCGAATCAGGCGGGTTGGGTGCACCAAAAAGGGCGTAGCAAGAGGTTCTGGCATGTTCTGGCAGCATAGAGGCCTTGTGAGAGTTGTGATGAGTTGTGTCACACCACTGACTGACCCGGCCCAGGGTCGGCGGTCAGGAGGACAGCCATGCCAGCGTGTTCACACGCCAAAGGCGGCAGGAGCCGGGTCCTTGGCGTGGAGAGTCCAGGAAGAAACTCTCAAAGCACTGCACTGGCACTGCTCGGACGAAGGTCCTTCCCAAGCGATCGGGAGCCCGGCTCGTCCACGGGCGTCCGGTGCTCAGCCTCAAACTGGCAGCCGTGATCAAAAAGGGCTGGAGATGACGGAAGCCGCAGCAAAAACCCGCTACTCAGCTACTCCGGCTGCCTCCGGGCTCGCACTTCAAGAATCTGGGCGATCCACCTGTTGCTTGGTCTTCTGCGATGCTGGAGCAGAATTCGCTCGCGATTGAGACAGGATTGGGCAACTGTCAAGCGCTACCAGACGACAAATCACACGTTCAGGGACACCGGCATGCTCTGTGCACGTGCATCATTTCATGCCGCTTTTAGTCCACTCAAAAGGAATGTCCAACGCGCAAGAGGCCCGCTTTATCCCCCCTTCCAAAATTGAATGAAGGCGAAGCCGTCAGTCAGAGAAGCCGCATGGATGCTGGCCGAAAAAGCGGAGCGGACGTGCCCAGATGCAGGTGGGCCTGGATGTAGTATTGCAAAAGGCCTGTGCGATCCCATGTTGTGCTTTGTCTACCCTCCAGACTCTCGACTATAGGTTGCCGGTTCCTGCGGGACACTCCCCTCGGTTTCTTGAGAACTGGTGTGTTTCCCAAGCTACAACAGCACCGAGAAGTGATGTTGCGTAAACGGCGTTTCCATTGCCAACACGCTGGCAGCAGAAGAAGTGCCGGCTGTTTCCATGCCTCTGGATGCTCCAGAAGGCTTTGCAAACGGCCTCCTTGCTAAGGATGCGCCAGCGCCCCCTGCACAAAGTCCCGAGGCTGACTGGTGGAGTGTTACAGGGTATGTCATTTGCGGTTGCACGTGCCGACTGTGTGAAGGAGCACATCAGCAGCCAAAGACGCAGGGAGCAGGACCGAATGTAGTGGCACTTTGGCAAGATGACCGACGTTCATCGTGCTACTTGATGCGAAATAAAGTCACGCAAGGAGCCTGGAAAGGGGCTGCCTCTCAAGCCGTCGGTGCATTCTCCCATCGCCATCTGTGTTTGCGCTGTGTGATCTGCGCTGCCGCCGTGTGCGTAAATTGTATTTTCGCTACTGCTTCAGAAGTCTTCACTACTCTTGCAAGGTCGCGGGGCAAATTGTAGCATGCTTGGGGGTTGCAGCAAACTTATTCCTCCTTGTCAACTCAATCCATGCAGACCTGGTCACCTTTGCGTAGCAGCTATATGGAGCCCCCCCCCCCCCCCCCCNNGCCCCCCCCCCCTGCCCCCCCCCGCCACCCCCTGCTCTTCTGAAACAGATTTCCTGAGTTCCTCGCCGTTTCGGCATCCTTGCCGGCAGGTCGGGGTGGCTACCTTCTGGTGTGGAACGAGGGGTGGGTGGGAAAGGCAGGTGGAGGCGGCAAGGTGGCTGGAGGCAAAATTGCCGGAGACAGGTGGCTGCTAGCAAAGGCGGCTCGAGGCGTGCAGGGCTGGAGCAGCTGGTCGGGAGGCACAGGCTGGCACAGGTGACGCCGGAGAGGCGGGGAACCGAAACACAGGTGGCTGGGAGGCGGTGACGGTGGAGGCACAGGTCAAAGGGTTTCTTGCTCTTGCATGCCGGTGCATGTCTCAGGCCTTTGCGTGCGCACTTGTTCGCCAGTCCCCCTTGGTACTGGGTCGAAGCTCGGCTCTTGCTCGAATTCAGATGTCGCCTGCTACTGTGCTCAAGCATATTGAGACTGCTGAACAACTCAGCATTGGAGTTTCAGGAAACTCCGATGTGGGGCTGCCAGAATTCCCAGTTTTACAACTAGCAATTACATTAATGGCTCCGATGCTAAAAATGGCAGAATAGGTGGCCTCTTCCCCGAGCTGCATGATCAGCCTGTCGTATGAGCCTGAGCCATGAATCCGAAGTTCGAGGCTGGTACAGATCTTTGCATCAGCCGTAGTGTGAGTCTCACGACTTGTTGGCTTTTTCGCACTGTGCAAGCCCCCGTTTGTCGAAGAAGACGTGCGCGGGCCAGCCCTCGCCGATTGTCTCCATGTAGATAGGTTTAATAAAGACGGTCGTCACTCTTAACAGAAATCAGGGTCTGAGCTGCATCTGCCCCTGAAACAGATCTTGTTTGCCCAGGGCAAGGATCAGCTATGATCAGCTATCGGAATCAGTGTAGATGCATTTTGAGAAGGCCGTTGACGGTGCAGCTTCATAAGCGTCGAGCCCGTGACAGGCATGATTGTCCTTGTCAAACCCGTGATATGTATGACTATGCTTGAAAAACAAGTATGCGTATCCTTGAAAAATCAGTGATAAGTATGATTATCTTCAGAAAAACCGTGATAAGCGTCTGTGCCTCTCTGTGCCGAGAAGCCACTTCTAGGTCTCTGGTATCATTTCAGCTGCTTTTCTCGAGATTGCCCAAGCCATGAAGCGATGTGTCGATTATTGTAAAGGAAGGTACAGTTAAGGGAGCGAGAGATCATGCAGAGTGAAAGTACGTTGGTACTGTACGTGCTCTGGAGTGTTGGAGGTGAAACCTGACATCGGCTCCTCTCTAAACCAGCACCATGTTGGAGCCGTTAGAGACTGTTAATGTTTTGACCGACTCGAGCCATGGAATAATGTTTTCTCTTCACACTGGGACGTGGAGTGGATTGCCTCGCAAGAACGAAGTTGCTTGCCAGCACAGCTGTTTGTCATGCAAAGGCAGACTGGCGCCGCGGACTCTTACATGAACATTGCTAAAGATTTTATGTTGTTTGTGCAACTCGAACCCAGTGCTACTTGTATGGGATGTTTGCAAAGACAGCGTACGATTAACGGAGTGGTTTTGGCCGATCGCTGGCTCCAGGAAGAAGATGCAAGAATCGGCAAGCCTGGCAAGACTTGTTCGAGCATCCCTGCTCGATTTGCTTAGGCCGCCTTGCGCAAGAAACAGGAAGCTCGTGACAAGGCGATCGTTGCCGAGGCTGCAGTACGCCACGAGAGCTAGCCAGATGGCTTGTGCACGTACTTGCATACATGCACGTGTGCAGGCGAGCACTGATATGTACGTATGACTATATGGTACAATCTTATGTATGTCCTCGTATGGACATAGGTTTTGTTGCGGTCTGGTGGTGGCGAAGGTGGCTGCATTGGACGAGGCCCATGAAGATCATGAAGCTCGTCCCAAGTCACGAGAGACGCTCATCAGGCACCGTTCAGACGTGAAGCTCATGGGCTTAAGTGCCAGCAGACCATAATGAGGGATCATCTTGCTTGAAAGCTTATACCTCCGAAGGTGGCAACTGGACACCAGAACCAAGGATGCTCACCAAGGTTTCCCCTCTTGGCTCTGCCGGGTCACCAGGTTACCGTGAAAAGCTGTGCTTCGAGCGCAGGACGTGTGCTGCCAGCTCCCTGGGCCCCACGAGCGCAAGAAGCGTGCCTGCACATGTGGCTGCGGGCGGGGCGGGGCATGCCGCATCGTGTTCGGATTTGCGTTGGTCTCAGGACTGGGATGCAATACATTTGCAGCTCACAGTGGCCCAAGCATCTCAAGAGGAGGAGCGTGCCCTGGCTACACCAACAGCAGGTGGCCAAGCAGAAACTGTCAATCATGCAGCCGATCTCTTGGCCGTTAGTCTGCACAACTCCGCAAGGCAGCCCCAAGACCTGGGATAGAGAAATGGTTGCCATGTGTGGTGAGAATGCAAGAGCAGAGCCTTGGAAGGAAGCCTTGTGTGTCTCTTCGATAGGTCTTCGACACAGGCTTGACCAAATCTTCGCCACATCTTGTGTCTGAGGCATTGCATGGGCGAGCCTGTGACTTTGTGGAGCCATATGTGCCTTTGATGAAGAAGCACTCTGCAATCAACAAGGAGAAGGCAGCGTGTTTCTCGACTGTGTGTTCCCTATTGTGCGGTCCACCGGTGCGCCGGTGCTTCCACGGCTGTCTGAGATAAGACATACTTGCTTCCCGTGCGCAGTCTGCAGTGGTGCTGCTCATTACACCTTGCAGGTGAACCTGCTTCACCACCAGCTGCCCTCCCCATGCAATGAGCGTGGTTCTGGCTTTCACGCAGCCCTGGATGGCGGACGGGCCACTGTGCGATACAACCTGCAACTCGACGGACGACGTCCGTTTCTCGCAGGCGAAACGAGGACGAAAGAGTAGAGTGCAGCGTGTGTCAGTGCAAGGCTTCTCTCTCTCAGGCGCTGCCCGCGGTCGAAATTTCTGTCAGCCACGCTTCCTCCCCCAGCAAGACCTGGCCTCCTGGGACCAGGCCAGCAGCCCTTGGAGAATGGACTCACAGGGAAGGCTAGCAGCTCTCAGCTTCTCAGATCTCCGCAGGAAAGGGTCATGGCACCAGAGCGCGCCTACGCGGTGAGCGATCGAGGCAGGGCTAGAATGGCAGTCTGCCTCAAAACGAACCCTGAAGCAGGTATTGCGGTATTGCCTGCAGCAAGGAAATAGCAGCCAGACCAATTTTAATGCAAGACACAACCGATGACTTACTGCCTTCCTGACATATGTGTTGTTCAATATGTTTTTTGTACAGCTTGCTTTGTGCATTAGTGGTCAACTTCATACGTCTTGGCAGCGATCTGCTGTTCCGTCTTCAAACGATGTGCAGCAGTTGTGGAGCAAGTGGCAGCAGCTGCTGTGCGAGTAATGACCAGCTGCATTTTCGATCAGTACCGCTCCTAGAATCGGCCATTTCATGTCACCCCTGTTGGTTCTCGAGAACAGAACAGACATAACAGACGCAGAAGAGGCAAAGAGGAAGACCAGCTTTCCTGGCCAATGCGCGGACACGGCCTTGTCCAATGGGATTGCGAAGGGCCTCGCACAAGATTGTTGCACACACGGCTTTTCAATACTGACTATTCCTTAGCGATTCTTCGCGCTTCTGCACATTTTGATGTATTCATTCGCCGTTAGCGAAACGAAAGGCTTAACTTCCTTGAACTGAAGAAGCACTCTCCTTTGTCTTATTCCAACCACACCATCGACAAGCGGAGCGTTGTCCATCTGTCACCCAAGAAATCATAAGAGGCTCAGAATCCTCAGACACGAAAAAATCCACAAGGCTAAGAGGAATGGCACTGGGTTTGTTCCGAAAAAGCCTGGTGCTGCCTGGTCATTTTCTTGAAGGGTGCAATGGGAGGGGGCAATCGCTGAGTACAGGAGGGAATGCTTGTTTCGCGGCACAATTCGTTGCGGGAGAAAGTTCATGGCAGGTGCTGAAGCAACTCCATGCTCCATCTGTCTTCATCCATCGCCGGTAAAAGTTGTGAAGGCATCTCGATATTGCACGACAGCTCCACATTAGAAATTGCCCTCCTGAACGTTAGAGAAGGTAGACAAACCATGACAAACCAGGCTTAGGCGTTGACTCCTCAAACGTTTTTGCCTTTTTTACCGTCGCCTGATGGCTTACGAATCAGGATGTCTGTGTCAAGGCTGAATTTCGCGTTCGAATCCGAAGCCATCAAGCTCGTTGCAGGCACATCGATGTTCCATGATGAACAGCGCAAAGGCATGCCGGCCTGGAAACCAGCAGGTCGGGAAAGAGGCCCGCAGTTCACCAAGGCGCACCACTTTCCGTTTGCAGGTGGCTCCGCCTTAGGTGCGAAGGCGCCTGAGCAAGGTCGCGCCCTCAGCAGCTTCAATTATTACACATGCGGAACTGCAGCCATCTGAGGCAAAAAGCCTACGGGCCAGCTGTCGCGAGTTGGTGCTACCATGATGAAGGCTTAGCGGCTGCGCGCCCAGACAGGGAGGCAGCAGTTCTCGTGTTTGTGTGCGGAGATTTATATTCTTGAGCACACGATTTGTTTAGAAGCCACAGCTTTGGCAAAGACAGTTTCCAGCGGTCCACTTGCATTTCGGGCATGCTGATGACAAAGTCAACAACTCTTTGCCAATACTTTGGCTTACAGCTTTCGCCAGTGGCGAAGAGATGGCCGTCTTCTTTTCCACACATTGTTCGACCTGCGCGGTGCCCTGCGCAGCGAAATAATCCCATCATCTTCCCCATGAAGTGGGTAAGATTCCGACGAACGTTGGACTCGTTTCCAACATTGTGCAGCAAGTTTTTGAGGCTGGCTGCTGTAGCGCAGCTTCAGCATGTAAATGCATTCTCGTTGCACCCATTCAATGCATGAGCTCCGGAGCATGGAGCAGTCAAAGGCGTCTCTGTTTCATCTCATTGGTTCTGTTGCAGCTGCCCCATCTAGGCAAGAATTGCTGCAGCTTTGAGTTGCCGCAAAAGATGTAGTTAGCTCCACCCTTCATCATCGTGAAGCTTACCATATTGGCCACAACCCACCCCTTCGGCTTAAGACACGAGATGCTCTCAGAAAGCTGCTATCCGATCCTGCTGCAAGGCTTTTTGATTGGCCGTGAATTCGTCCACGTTGGCCACAGTGGCAAAGCAGCTGCAGGAGTGACACTTTGGAGTGTGATTCTGCTCGGAAGATTGATAGCAACGCATGAAGATTACAGCAATCGAGCTGATACAAATGACACGGACGATTGCCGCATCCGGAAGCCGCAATAGAGCAATTGTTAACGCGCTGCACATCGCTGCACTACAACGTGGGAGGGGGTCTTTGGGGTCCCCTTTGGCCACAACCCTGTGTACCGAAGCAACGGAGTCAAACACATCCATGAGTTGATGCAAGCAACTCAATGACCTCTGCGGACCAGGCCCCGGGTTAAATGAATGAAACGAAGTGAGTAAGTAGTTCAATGAGCTCAATCAGTTCCTTCAGTTCATTCAACTCATCTAGTTCTTTAAGCTGACTGGGATCTCAGAGGGGCGGCCCTAATTTAACTATGTGTGTTTTTCACCTATTTTTATTCGCCTCAGCCCCGAATTAGATGGACGAAAAATCGGATCGCTGTTGGGATATTCCGGGCTCAGAAAAGTAAAAAGTTTGGGGAATTCGCTGGCCTTAGCCCAGAACTAAAGGAATCAAGAGACATAATGATTAATTCGACCAATTCTCCGGCCCAGGCCCCGAATTAGATGAACTGGCTGGTGAGCCTATTTTAGGTTTTCTTAAACTTTATAGTTTTGGGCTTGCTTGCCTCCCGTGGCCCTGGAGGAAAATGCTCGCCGACTGCTCAGTGATGGTCCCGGCATGCTTTCCAAGTATGGCAAGATGAATCCCAGACCGCTGAGCAGACACTCGCCGGTCGTTGCTGCGAAAAACTGCTAGGGCTGCTGGTGCGTAAGAGAGTCGGCCAAGTCAATGGAGACAGCATTCTCGTTTTTGCGACTGCGCCAAGCACTTGACAATCTTCGCCCCCTCTCCACGCAGGAATCTGAATCGCCGATCGGGCAAGGCCCACTCCGAGTTTCGCCAAGACCTACGTCCTACCTGCAATCTTGAGTTAAGGCCCTGCAGCGTCCTCGGCGTCAACACCCGGTACGGATCCTACGTTCTTGTGCAGACGGGTCGCTACGACTCCCTAGTCCAGCCACGAGCTGACCCGCACTCGCACCCAGGCCCTCCGATCAAGTTCACCATCAAAGGCGGGACGGGTCTCGCGTCAGGGCCTGCTGAGTGTCAGTGAAGTTGAGTCCCGTACGCGTGCATGAGCGAGACTCGCGGCAACTTGTCAGCCAGGCGGGGCCATGGGCAAATCCATGCCGAAAAGCAGCGCGAACCTCATTCGAACTTTTCTCAGACGTTCAGTTGCACGATGATGACGGCTCAAGAGTGCCAGGTCAAGGAGGGAAAGATGCCGATTCCAGCTCTTACCCCGGGCGGCCAAGGGCCTCAACGTTTGCGAGTGCCAGCAAAACTAAGGCCCTCCTTCAGAGCCCGGCCATCTCGGGTCTGCCCGGTCTTCGGCCAAGGGTCTGCATCCCAGCCTCTCCGACGCAGAACCTGTCAGCATGGCATCCTGCGGTTGAATGCAAGCTGAAACCAGCACGCAGGAGTGCCACGATCGCACTTCCGGCTATGCATCTCGCTTAGGGATCCAAGAAACTTTTTACTGCAATCTTGGATCTGGGGTCTAGGCGGGCCAATAATAAAACAGTAGCCTTAAACCCATAATTGTTAATGTAGGGTCACTGAAACACAACTAGTGTAGAACAAACAAGCGGCTCAGCGTCCCCTTCTGTTCGTCTACAGTCTACTGACCCTTGCTTGCCAAATCATGCTGCCCATGAAGATGTGTGAGACAGGCGGCCCCATGGCCAAATCCACGCCGAAAGGTGGCAGCCCTTTCGCGGGGTGTTATGCAAAAGCTGAAGAGGGCTCCTGCCAACCTGGAAGCAAAGCCCGTCCAGGTCAAGGCAAAGACGGAGATTCAGGCTGCCTCGTCGTTGTGAGTTGAAGATGTTTGCCGAACTGTTAAGAGTGCGTGGGCAATCGTGGGCAGGCCCTCCTCCCGAGTCAGGCTCCAAGGGCTTTTCGGCGAAGGGGATGCTCGATCTCGGCTGCGACCTGAACCGCGAGACTTCAGCAAGCTGTGCAATCCATGCATGATATCCCTGAAGACCTGCCCAGCCAGGCGGGGCCTTGGGCAAGTCCACAAACAAAGGTGGCATGAGCCCCATGAAGGTTTCTCCTTACACAGGAAACTCGTGACAGCACGGAAGTGAAGTCGGACAGGGCCGGGGAAAGACGCGGATTCCGGCGGCTGTCTCGTTTTCTGACATTGACTTGAGGATCCGAACATCGTGCATGTTCATGTGCCTATCAGGCCCTCCTCCGGAGCCGAGCCACCTGGCCACGCCCTTCAGCCGTTTTTCGGCGCAGGGTCGTGTCCTCAGCTGCACCTAACTGTGTATTGTTCCAGTGCGGCAGCACGGCGACCCAGGAGGGGTCATTGGCAAATCCACGCCGCAAGGCGAAAGCACGCCAGAAGAGTCTTGCAGAGAACGGTGGGAGTTTCCCTTTGACATCGAACAGGTCCAGAGCAAAGCGACGAAAATTCCAGCTCCTAGCTCGGATGTGATACCCGCACGAACGGCTTCGCTGCTCCTTTGGCTCCGTGTCTCCCAATCAGGCCCTCCGGAACCGTCTAGCCGCCTCGGTACCCCTTTCAGCCGCTTTTCGGCAAAGGGTACTTGCCTCAGATGAATTTGGCTTGGGGCGAAGAATCAATAATGCTCTGGCACGTTGCACAATCGTGTTGCCTAGAAGACCTGGTCCAGCTAGGAGGAGCCATGGCCAAATCCACGCCGAAAGGAGGCAGCCCTTCCTGCGGGGTGTTGCACACCAACCTGGAAGCAAAGCCCGTCCAGGTCAAGGCAAAGACGGAGATTCAGGCTGCCTCGTCGTTGTGAGTTGAAGATGTTGGCCGAACTGTCAAGAGTGCGTGGGCAATCATGGGCAGGCCCTCCTCCCGAGTCAGGNNGGGCTTTTCGGCGAAGGGGATGCTCGGTCTGTTCCTCAGCCGGAGCACTGCAGACAGTAAGATCTCAGCAGGCTCTACTTCCTCTCAAGTCCTCTCATGAGGTGGAGCAATGGGCAAACCTGCCGGGAAAGGCCAGGGAGCCTTCAGAATGTCATGAGAGAGCTCTTAAGCATCCGGGAGGTGTCGGAGGGAAAGAAGAATCCGGCTCCTGCCTCGTTTTCCGCTCGCTTCTCCTTTGCCTCTAGAAAGAATACGGGGGCCTTTTGCCAGGCCCTCCCGAGCCGAGCCATCCCGGTCCCGGTGCTGCCGGTCGTTTTTCGGTAAGAGCTCCTGGCGTCTGCCTCAGTGTGCCGCGACC